AGTAGTTGTTCGTGTAGCCTTGGAATCATATCTGGCAGGATCAAGACAATATCGGTGCATTAACTTCGGAAGTCGAATTGAAGTGCCAAAATCCTACTGACGGGGAGCCCGGAGCCTGAGAAGGCACCAGTATGCGATCCGACATGCAAACATTGGCTTCCACTGACAAGAAGAAGACACGATGAGATGTCGGATGCCCAAGTGGTCGCGGAAGGTCTTATCAGGGGCCACCAGGACGCGCCCGTCCATTCAGGAATGACCAGCGTTAGCTTGGCAGCCGTGCGTGCGGCGTGGCGGAGAGTGGCTGGGACGAGGTGTGGGGGAGGAAAGGCAAAACCATGTTCTGGTCCCCAATCCTGTGAGAAGGCGTTGATGGCGGTTGCACGCGGGTGGGGGTTCTTTGAGAAAAAACGGGGCAGCTGTGTATTATTGGCGTTTGCGAAGAGGTCAATGGTATGTGGCCCCCAGCGTCTCTCCAGTAGCCAAAACCAGGGGAGTTTCAGTGGGTAATCGTCGTGGTCCTCCAGCTTGGACAGTGCGTCAGCATCCGTATTGAGAGCCCGAGGGATCCATTCGATTGCCAGCCGGATTTCATGTGATATGCAGTGTGTGACGATGGACTTGCACAAGATGGTGAGCTCGGGCTGTTGGGAGCCGCCTTTACAAAGGATGAAAAATACTCCTTGGTTGTCAACTCGAACGAGAACGTGGCGACCTTGGGTCTGACTTGAGAATGTGCGGAGGGCCCAAAGCACGCCTTCGAGCTCGCGGCGCGTGCTCGAGGTGGTGAGGAGCTCGTGTGGCATTGGACTGCTGTTTTGTGAGCTTCCGCCAGGGAAGGAAGCCAAGGTCGCACCCCAACTAAGAGCGCTTGCGTCGACATGGATCACCGTATCCATACAATGTGGCATGTGAAAAGGGGCTCCGTTAAAACGATCGAAGTGTTCGAGCCAGAACTGGATTTCCTCGTGAACCTCCCCAGTCAGGTGTACTCTGGCATTCCATGACGGTGCAGTATTGTTGAGTTCCAGTAGGTGGTGGCTGAATGAACGCGCCGTTGTGCCAAGGGCCAACACCATGGAAGTGAGGATGCCCGTGACTCGGGCGACCAGGCGAATCGGTATCCGTTGTTGACGCTCGTAGGCGTCGAGAAGCACTCGTAGTGTATGCATGAGTTGAGCCCGGCGTGCGGGGCCAATGGTGAATCTTCCCGCTTGGGTGTCCAACTGCATTCTAAGAAACTGCAAGTTCTGGGTCGGGGTGAGGTGTGACTTTTTGGCGTTGATGACGAGCCCCGATTGTCGTAGGTCGCGAATCATTGCACCACTTGTTGTACAAGCTTCCTGCTCCGAGGTACAGAGGAACAAGATGTCGTCCACGTATGGGATTACTCTTGTACCGGGCGCTCGCCATCTTCGAGCCAGCTGTTTGATCAACTGAGTAAAAAGGAAGGGTGCTGTCGTGAGGCCGAACGGTAACGACTTGAAATAGTAGTCCGTGCCTTCAAAGTGGAAACCTAGAAATTTCCAGCATGATGCGTGAATGTCGACGTGGTGGTATCCGGACTTCAGGTTGATGGAGAACATCCAGTATCCCGGTTGTGCTAACTCGGCGACACGAACCAAACCTTCGTACTTGAATTTCGGGATAACATGGTATTGATTGACCTTCCTCAGATCCAGAATGAGGCAACACTTGTCGCGTTGTTCCACGACATTGAGTGGACTGATGCATGCCACGGTGAGCGGTCCCGCGGCTGCCGCCGCGCCGGATGAGAGCAAGTCGGAGATAGCCGAGTGTGTGATTCTTGTCACGAAAAGACGGAGGTGGGGACTCTTTCCACGGGAGCCAGTATCCATTGGAGATTACTGATAGGATCAAACTGCTCTCGCACCATGATGCCCACCACGCGAATGCTCGACGTAATCGGCCCCCCATGGTCGTAACGTCCCTGTCTGTTACCGCATGTTCCAAGGCCTCGTGCCATTCGCCCAACCATGAGGGGACGGTGTCTGCAGTGGCCAATCGATTTGGGACAACAATAATTTGCGAGTTAGATTTTGTCTGAACCACATGGTACTCGGTGTGTGTAGCCGGTTACACGAGAAAATCTTCAGAAAGAGCGACACATCGACTCGCGCCTTTGGAGCGATGGAGCTTGAACCACAAAACTTGCTGGCGCCCTTAAAGCGCGCCCACCGAGGTGATACGAGAAGGTGCGGATGGTGTGGTGGGGGGACGGATGTTGGTGGCATGAGTCGGGGTATGCATTGAACGCCCTCGAGGGTGCTAAGAAGCACGATGTAATTGGCACAGCATCCTTCCCCTATATGGCTCTCTTCTCTTCTCCTTGTCTTTTTTTTTTTTTTTTTTTTTTGGACGCACCATGAGGTGTGCAACGAGGGGTGTGTGATTGTAGGCTAGACCCTTATTACACGTGTTATCGGTCCAAAGGCCCTCGTGCGAGCTTCGAACGTGAAGTACAAGAGCTTGGGTGGATGTGTGCACCCCTCTTCTTCTCTCTTTCTCGCTCTCTCTCTCCCCCCCCCCCTCTTTTTTTTTTTTTTTTTTTTTGAGAGAGAGAGAGAGAGAGAGAGAGAGAGAGAGAGAGAGAGAGAGAGAGAGAGAGAGAGAGAGAGAGAGAGAGGATGTTGCATTCTCAAGGAAGCCTCTTGCCTGCTGCCCATTCAACCGGGGCCCTATCACAAGGTGCCTTCCATTGCTCCCAAGACCGCAACACTCTTCCTCCCCTTCTTCACTTGCCTTTTCCCTTTCCTTTTTTTTTTTTTTTTTTTTTTTTTGCAACACATCTTGGCTTGTGGGGTGGGCATGTGCCACTGCCCTACGGCCTGAGCCACTCTTCTATTATAGTAGTGCATAATAATAGGCCACCCGGGCTTAACATGGAACACACACGTACACATCCGCACACACGCACACGCGCACACACACACACACATGGCCTAGAGCATCCTTGCATCTAGCCTCTGGCTAATCAGCCTTCTCAAGGACCCCCTGGTCCTAGCCCACCCGTCCACCGGTCCATCCCAAAAACAGCCCAGGCGGGAGCCGCCTTGGAGGCAATGAGAGGAGGGTAGGATGAGGGTGTTCGGCCTCCATCACACCACCGGTGCGGGCCCATTGCCCCCATGGTCCCCATGGGGGCATGCTCTTGCCATGTGGCCATTCTGGCCGCAGCGAAAGCAGGTTCCCTTAAGCCCCGACAACCGCTCGGAGCTCCCATCGCCTTAGGCATGAAGGCGGGGGTCTCGCGGTGAAAGGAACGGCTCCCGCGAACGAAACCGGACTTCATGCGCTTGAGAGCCGCCATATCCGCCACCGCCATCTTGAAGGAGCGCGAGGTGAGGACCGCCGCGGTCTTCAGCAGCTGATAGCGCTCTGCCACGTCAAATCCGGCATGGTCGGCGACGACCAAAACGTCGAAACGCCGCTTGATTAGCTCTTGGGCTTGGGTGATGGTTTTGAGTGCACCGGTTGTGTCGCCACCGCGGATCTTATGCTCAACGTGCGCCAGGTAGTTCTGGATAGCGTCGAAGACTTCCGCCTAGTCGCGGACACCTTTGCGGTTGAAGGCGGTGGCCGCGGTACAGGGGTGGGGTGAAGGGAGAGGAGGAAGGAGGTCGTTGTAAGAAACCGCCCTGGGTTAACTGAAGCCACAGATTCAGCTTAGCGAGTTAAAACCAGAGCCTAGGATCAATCCGACGGGCTCGGAGCAAGGATTCCGTAGCAACTTAGATCACTGAAATCGCCCAAGAGTTGAGAGAGAAAATGTTGTTTATATGAAGATAGGTACACAAGTCGTACAAGGAATCAATAGCGAGTGTAGCGAAATGTTCGTAACATTCGCTTGCACCCTCGCTATTTTCGTGCATGCTTGTGGGGCTGCCAAGTGTCGCCCCCACAAATGTTCGGACTCAATCCGGGGAAAGTTCGGTTGCGTGGCGACGCGGACAATCCGCCGTCACCCCAACCTTCCAAGAACGAACCCTCCCTTGGTCCGAGTCAAGGGAGGTCTTCGCGTGGGGGGCAATCCCGTCCCCCACACTTCCAACACTCCCCCTTGCACCCCACGCACACCTAAGCATGCAAGCCTACCCTAGCACAACATGCATGAAGAGCATCTCTAGGCAATGGCTTGGTGAGAAAGTCCGCGGGTTGGGAGTTGGTCTTGATGTAACGAAGCTCGACTTCGTTGTCTTCAACGAGCTTGCGAATGAAGTGGTGGCGGATTTGAATATGCTTGGTCCTTCCATGAAGGACCGAATTCTTGGCTAGGCCAATGGCGGCTTGGTTGTCCACGTAGATGGGAGTGGGGCCTTCTTGTTTGTGCCCAAGCTCGGCAAGAAGGCGACGTAACCAAACTGCTTCCGTACCACCACGAGTGAGCGCCACATACTCCGCTTCGGTGGAGCTAAGTGCAATCAAGTTTTGGCGCTTGCTTTGCCAACTTATTGCACCTCCCACGAGGGTGAAGATGTAGCCCAAAGTGCTTTGGCGGGTTGAAGGATCTCCCGCCCAATCCGCATCCGTGTAGCCTTGTAGCACCACGGGTCCCTTCTCGTAGTGCAACCCCATACGAGTGGTCCCCTTGATGTAGCGAAGGAGACGTCGTGACGCTCGCACATGCTCGACCATGGGGTTGGAGACGACACGTCCAAGCACTCCAACGGGAAAGGAGAGGTCGGGTCGCGTGCTCACCGCGGCATACATGCATGACCCAACAACCGAGTGGAAGGTCTTGGCGCTCTCGGGATCCATCGGGTTTTCATCGCTCACCGCCAAGGGATGAAACGCCGCTTCCATAGGTGTCGGTGTAGGCTTGCTCTCGATCATGCCGAAGCGATCCACCACACTCTCCAAGTACTTATGTTGGTGGAGAGCGAGGGTCTTGTTCCCTCGATCGCGATCAATGTGCATCCCTAGGTAGTGGAAGACGGCGCCGAGGTCACGCATGGAGAATTCGGCGGCAAGCTTCGTCTTCACGTCCGCTACAAGGGTCTTGCAATCCGACACGAGGAGAAGGTCGTCAACGTAGAGGAGAAGAACGAGCTTCTTTTCGTCTTTGTTGAGCACGTATAGCGCGTGGTCACACTCGCTCCGCACGAACCCCAAGGAGAGCAAGTGATCGTCGATCCTCGTGTACCACGCACGAGGGCTTTGCTTGAGGCCGTAGATCGTGCGCTTGAGCTTGCACACGCGGTCGGAGTCGTCGTCGAACCCGGGAGGTTGCTTCATGTACACCTCCTCCTTGAGACGACCGTAGAGAAATGCCGTCTTCACGTCGAGTTGTTCCACCTCCAAGTCGAGTGCTCCCGCCAACGCCAAGAGAGTGCGCAACGTAGCGGATTTAGCGACGGGAGCGAACGTCTCGTTGTAGTGAAGACCCTCCTTTTGAGTATAACCTTGCGCCACCAACCGCGCCTTGTACCGCTCCACTTCTCCGTTGGGGCCGAGCTTCTTCTTGAAGACCCAACGAGAGCCAACGAGGTAGGCGCCGGGGGGCATGGGGACGAGCTCGTAGACGTCGTTCGCCATGAGCGAATCGTACTCCGCTTGAAGCGCACGTTCCCATTCCGCCGCTTCCGCCGAGCTCATGGCGCCTTGGTAGGTGGACGGTGTGTCGGTGTATGCCTCAAGACACATAGCATCTCCCCCTCCCTTATCATCCCCCGCCACAAGAGAGTAGTCATCCAACTTGGAGTTGGGACGAGGAGTCCTCCGAGTGCGAGTGGATGCGAGGGTGGGAGTGATTTTAGGAGGAGGAGATGAAGGGTCACTTTCCTTGGCATGTTCTTCATCCGCACTCACTCCAACCGCACCCGATCCATTCTCCCCCTCACTCGTACGAGGAGGAGAAGCCGTAGGAGCAACATCCGCCTCATCCGCGGCATCCAAGGGGGGAGGGACAATGATGACCGAGGGCACGTGCATCAACTTGGACGGGAAGGTGTCTTCGTAGAACACCACGTCGCGCGACACCACGAGCTTCCCGTGCTCCAAGTCCCACACACGCCACGCCTTGTGATCCGCGCTTGGACCCAAGTACATCGCCACCCGCGCCTTCGCCTCAAGCTTGGTCCGTGTGGCATCCGGGACATGGTAGTAGCACGTACACCCAAACGTGCGAAGGTCGGTGACGTCCGGCTTCGTACCGCTCCAAGCCTCAAGAGGCGTCGTGTTCGGCAACGCCTTGGTCACGCACCGGTTGCGAATCCATGTTGCCAACGTAACCGCCTCACCCCACCAATGCTTCTCCGCGTGAGCATGGGAGAGGAGACTCCGTGCCGACTCCATGAGCGTGCGGTTCAAGCGTTCGGCCGCACCGTTTTGTTGAGGCGTGTACGGCGTCGAAAACTCATGCGCGGTCCCACGCCCTTCCAACCAATCTCCGAGCTCCCGAGCAGTGTATTCGCCACCGCCATCCGAGCGAAGGCGCTTCACCTTGAAGCCGCTTTCCGTCTCCACATCCGCTACCCATTTCGTGATAGCGGTTGACGTGGCGTCTTTGCTCTTGAGAAGCCGAATCCAACACATCCGCGTCGCGTCGTCAAGGAGCGTGAGGACGTAGCGCACGCCGCCCTTCGACGCGGGAGTAATGGGTCCACACAAGTCGGTGTGAACGAGCTTGAGAGGTTCGGTGGCGTTGGGCTTCGTGCTTGGTGGAAATGGCTTCCGAGCCATTTTCCCTTCAAGGCAACCGACACACTTCTCGTCGTCTCCACTCGAGCGCACAAACTCCAAGCCATCGACAATCCCCTTCGTTGCCATAGCTTGAATAGCGGCGTGGTTGAGGTGGCCATACCGATTATGCCACGTCGAGAGAGTTGTTGTCGAGGTAGCCGCTTGAGCCCTCGCCACGCTCGGAAGAGCGTCGAGCATGAAGAGTCCTCCCGCTTGGCGTGCCGTGCCGATGTGTACGCCGTCCGCCGTGCTCAACGCCATCGTGGTCCCTTCAATATTCACACGCATCCCCTTGCGTGTAAATTGAGAAACGGATAGGAGGTTGGCGCCGAGCCCGGGAACCACCAAGACGTTCTTGATGGTGAGTGGACCGCCGTCCACCATGAGCCGCAAGTCGCCTTGTCCCGTGACATCCAAGGTGTCACGGTTGCCGAACATCACGCGCCTAACGGGAGCCACCGTTGTCACGTTGTTGAGAAGCGTCGCGCTCGCCGTCATGTGTTGAGTAGCACCCGTATCGAGTACCCACGCGTCAACATCACCGACGGTCGTTCCACTTGCGACGAAGACGAACTCCCGGTCGTTGTTGTCGCATGTCGCCACATGCGCGCGCCGGTTGTCGTCACTTGAAGACGGCCTCCAATTTGCCGGTTTAACGGGACAATCGCGCCACCAATGTCCCGTCTTCTTGCAAAACCGACAAGCTCCATCTCGCGCCCGAGCTCGATTGGCGTTGGCCGATCCTCCTCGTGATGAGCTTGAGGTCGCCGCGCTCCCGTTCGAACTCCCGCGGTTGTTGCCGTCGTTGCGCCGCTTGAAGTGACCCGACCCTTTCGCCTTCGCATCGCGGGAGAAGTGTGCCGCGCCGATTGCATCGCCATGCAACTTCGCGCGCCTCGCCTCTTCGTTGATGAGGCGTGCCACCACTTGCTCCTTCTTCCATGTATCTTGCGTCCCATCCAACATCGTGATCACCGTTGACCATGCTTCACCGAGGCCCGCGAGGAGCGTCATGATCCAATCGTTGTCCTCCACGCTCGCGTCGAGTTCCACCAAACGCTCGACAAGCTCCTCCACGCGGTTAACGTACGCGCGTATTGACTCGCCGTCCTTCATCCGCACCGTGAAGAAGTCGAGGCGCGCTTGAAGCTTGCTATGAAGTGACTTGGAGACGTGCTCTCCTTCGAGTCGCTTCCACGCTTCACGAGTCGCGCCGTCACGGTCGATGCAAGGGCTCACGATCGGGACGAGTTGGAGGCTTAGCTTGGAGACAAGAAAGGCAAACGCCTTTTTGTCCTTGCGCACCCACGCTTCCTTCTCCGCGGTTGAAGCGTCCGTCGTGGGCTTCGATGCCGATCCATCGAAGAATCCCCACAAGTCGCGCTCCATCATGTAGACTTTCAACTTGAAGCGCCACAAGGAGAAATGTTCCCCGGTAAAAATTGGCACCGCGCTCAAGTCGACAACGTGCGGCGTTGTCGAGAAGTCTGTTGGGAGGGAAGGGGCCGTTGGCGTATTCGTCGTCGACGAATTATTGGAGGAACCCATGGCGTAGCAACGCTTGAGCGAGCACTCCTAATCTAGCTCTCATACCATGTAAGAAACCGCCCTGGGTTAACTGAAGCCACAGACTCAGCTTAGCGAGTTAAAACCAGAGCCTAGGATCAATCCGACGGGCTCGGAGCAAGGATTCCGTAGCAACTTAGATCACTGAAATCGCCCAAGAGTTGAGAGAGAAAATGTTGTTTATATGAAGATAGGTACACAAGTCGTACAAGGAATCAATAGCGAGTGTAGCGAAATGTTCGTAACATTCGCTTGCACCCTCGCTATTTTCGTGCATGCTTGTGGGGCTGCCAAGTGTCGCCCCCACAAATGTTCGGACTCAATCCGGGGAAAGTTCGGTTGCGTGGCGACGCGGACAATCCGCCGTCACCCCAACCTTCCAAGAACGAACCCTCCCTTGGTCCGAGTCAAGGGAGGTCTTCGCGTGGGGGGCAATCCCGTCCCCCACACTTCCAACAGTCGTTAGGCAAAATAGGAATGTTTGGCTCCTCACCCTCGTCGCTGTCGGAGTCGGAGTCGGCATCAGCAGGTGCTGCGAGTTCGTCTTCGACGGTGGGCGCCTTTCCTTTGTTGGTGCGACGACGCGTGCGGAGGTAGACGCATTATTGCGGATGTTTGCAGTTTTAGCGGGGGCGAAATTTTCCGTTTCAGCAGTAGTCGTCGGCGTTGTAACCGGGGCAGCGATCTGCTTTTGAAGAAGCGCCAACAGTGCCGCCACTTGCGAGGGCGAGAGATTCGCTGGCGCCCCCTCAGGTGCAGGCGAATCTTTCGCCCTCCTCTTGTGGGGGCCTAGAGATCCGCCAGGATCCGCGGCTGCAGGCGCAATGATGGCTACCGGCTCGCCATCATTGTCGCCGCCCGCAGGCCCACGCGTCTGCCTGGTGGACGCGCTGGGCTAGGGCTGACGCGCGGCAGTCACACCCTCGCAGAGGAGCACCTCGACTCCAGTGTGCTGCTCCTCGGCGGGAGTCACGGCAGGGCGCTTGCGTTTCTCCGCGCTGGTTTCCCGGGTCATTTTTTCATGCCCCGCCGAAGGACGGGAAGGAGCGTCGGTAGCCCCGGAGCTATTGTTGGCATTAGTCGGCGCCATCGTTGAGAGATTCCGCTCGAAAATGTCGGAGAGAAGTGTTGACAGAGAAGTGAAGCGGGGATGCGTTTTGATCTTCGCCAACTTGGACGGAAAATCCGAACTTAAAAGTTGAAAGTTCGAAATGAAACGTGGGTGAAGGCAAAATGGCCTTCGCCCCTCGTTTTTACCAAAAGGAGGGGGAAGTAGTGGTTCGCAGAAGCCTTTGCTTCGGTTCAACTCGCTTCGCTATTCACAATACACAATTTTGGAAAGTGTTACACACTTTCAAAAATTTACATTTCAATGGTAGCTAGAGGCAAACTACAAGGAGTACAGATTCCCGATCTTCACTCTCAAGTTCATCCCCCCTCTGATGATATAGATTTGAAGCCCATCGTATTCCCCAGACACTGCCGTCGAAGTCGATTCAAAATGACTTCTTCGCAGTCACTTCCCGCCATTTCGAAGTAGATGATCCACGAAGAGTAACCTGACGCGTTTTGGTTCGGCGGCGCCTGTCCATCCCGTCGTCAATTCGTTTCGCATATGTCTATTGTCCTTGCGATTTCCAAACCGCCTCCGCCTTCGCACACGCAGACCGTCGCGAGCAGCGGGAGCAGGAATGACAAACCTTTCGCGTCGCAACTTCTCCCGGCTAAATCGCTTAGCCAGTAGGTTTGGTCAAAATGGACCATCCACACCGTCAGCGAAAGGCAAGCGACCGGACTGAACCGCTCTGTCAGATCCCCGGAGGCCCCGGCCATCTAGCTTCGGAAATAGCTTCGTTCCCCTTCGAGTTTCGCGAAACAACACCGACAGCGCACAAGTTAGTTCTGCCCGTGCCTGCCCGCTGCGTGAGTTCCCAGTGCGATTTGCTTACTAGCAACTCCTTCCTGCATAATCGCTTCACCGGCAGGTCCGGTTTGAATGAACGAGCCTCACCGTCTGGGCAAGGCAATCAACCGGACTGAAGCGTTCTGTCACTTCCCCGGAGGCCACGGCCAGAGGCTTGACACTGTTTCGGAATTAGCTTCGTTCCCCTGCGAGTCCGCACGGCGACTGCCCGCTGCGTGAGTTCCCAGTACCTCGGCTCTCCTCCACCCCGCCTTGACGCAGCAACCCTCTCTCGCTCTCCCCCCGTCGCCTGCGATCGCCTCTCCGAGTACAAACCCGCACTCCCTCTACTCACCATCATTCATCGCTCTCTCTTCTTCGGTTTCAACTCTCCAGCTGACCTCGATCGCCAGTTTCGTACTATCTCGTTACTCTCGAGCCAGCTCCCACAGTTGCAGCATTACTATCCTTGCCAAATCAGAACATTCTAAGCTTTCAGCTCTCTCCGGTACTTCAAGCTTTGCACCTGAGGCTGCAACAGCAACCAGTGTTCCCTCAAGGTTCGTCTCTGCTAGTTCCGCCGCTCGGTTTCGGCCTCACACTTGGCTCGGTTGAATGGCCGACGCTTCCGCGCCTGCATACACCTCGTCGTCGTTCGCGGAAGTCCTGAGCCTCTGGAGGAAGCGCGAAGAGGCTACGCAGTCCCGCGCGCAACCTCGTGAGCTGAAAGTTGAACTGCCGCTGAGCTCCGCGACTGCATGCGCGGTGCCCTGTGAGCCAACTCTTGAAGCGACTTTTGAGGAGACTTCCGAGGCGATTTCTGAGTCGACGGAAAAGCAGTTTCAGCTGCAAGTGTCGCTGAGTTTCCCCACTGAATGCGCGGCAGCTGCAGAGGAGGAGGAAGCGGAGGAGGATTCTCGGAGTGACTGCGAGCAAACGAGCACTGGCAGCGTCGAGACGTCATGCAGCAACGGGACGAGTTCTGATGTGCTCAACGCATTGCATGCCGCCCTATTGCTGCTGCTGCTGCTGCACTCGCTGCTCATGCCACTGCTGCTGCCTCTGTTGCAAGTGGTTCTGCCTTGGCGGATTCCCGAGGTAGACAGCACAGGAGCACGTGTGAAGGTGGGTGGTGTGGAGGGGAAGGCATGGAATGCACGTGGTAGTGCTCTAGCCCACCAGAAGCCCACAGCAAGCAGCATGAGGCAGCAGCAGGAGAGAGAGCACGCTGTCAAGTGCAGAGGAGGAACGCTGGCAGCACCACCAAGGTAGCAGCAAGACCACTTTGAAGCTGCTGGTGACAAAGAAGCAAGCACAGGATGATAATTCTCTGTGGAAGCACAGAACAGAAACGTCTCCAGTAGCTGGTACTATAGTCTGTGTCTTAGATTGCTAGCTCTGTGCACTCTTGTAATATATTCTAGGTGCACTTGCGCATGTATATTGGCTGTCAAACAAATGTACATTCTACCTTTCAGTGTTCACAAACCCGGAAGAGGCACATTCTTGTGACTGCATTTCTGTATGCTTAGTTCAACAGCATAAGCTGTATAGTATATAGTACGTCAAATTCTTGACATGCGTTCTTGCAAATATTTCAAGTGATCCTAATCGCTCTATACATTGGCGCCTGCACTCAAGAACGAGTATTTTCTATCTTCTATGGCGTGTGATGTGCAGTTTCCGCCGTGAGTGATTGTTGCAACACACGCAAATGCGCAACGACGACTTGCATGTTATGAACAACGATCGCCTTGCTGGGTCTGATAGTAGCGGCCGAGCTGGAAGGACGAGGTTATGGGGAGCTTGAAATATTTGCAAAGTTAGTCACTAGGTCGAAAGCTTTACCTAGAAACTTCTCTCTTGGCCATGGCGTTCAGAGTTGGTTCGGGAAGAATTTGCCGAGAACTTGAATGGGGCAGGTGTGCGAGGACCTTCAGAGGGGCAAGGATGATGCCCACAGCGCATCGAGAGGGTAACTATTCACTTCTGTACCTATTCTGATGGGCTTCAGCGCGTGTTATTCTGGTTCGGTAGTCTTTAGTTCTGAGAGAGCTTTGCTTGCGTGCTGCGCAGAGTCAACGCCCACGAAGTCGATTTTGAGAATTTCTCAAAACAAAATGGACTATATCAACCTCGGTTTGAATCAGCTTCGCAGAGTCAACGCCCACGAAGTCGCGAGATGCGGCATCTGCTGAGGGGGTGAAAGTTGGCGAAAGAAGCGCATCTGAGCACGGGTGAGTCGCCCTGCTCTCCTCCGAAGGTGCTGTGCTGAGGGGGCGAAAGGTGGCGAAAGCAGCTGAGGGGGTGAGAATGGGGGAGAAAGAAGAGGAGTGCTGACTGTGAGGGATTTGTTCATCATATGCGACCTGCGCGGCTGGGTGCGAGTGACCTGCGCAGCCAGGTGCCAGGTGTGGCGGACGAGGAGGGAAGTGTGATGCGAGTGAGGGCGGTGTTTGGCGTGTGGTGTGAGAGCGAGGGTGGGAGGGGGGAAGGGGTAAGAGCTGACACGGGGAGAGAGAGAGGGTTCAGCGCGTTGTACGCCTCTGAACACTTTTTTTTTTTTTTTTTTTGCTTTTTCACCCCCACTTGCACTTTCCCTCCTCCTCCACTTCTGCCTTCCCTCCTTCCTCAACTATTCCACCATTCCTCCTCCCCTGTGCCGCTAGCACTAGCAGCTTAAGGGATTTTGCTGCTTACATTCTTCTCCTATTCCTCTCTATTCCAAGTCCTTGCCAACATGGTCGTTTAAGTCTTGATACTTTAAATACCTCGTGTAATAAGAAGCATGCTTCATAACATAGGGGATCTCGTGGTGGTGGTCCTGTTTTCAATGTACCGAAGTTATATATATTGGCATTTTTTAATCCTTTACTGGCTCCTCCCTCTCCTCCTTTCAACGCTCGGCCCACCCTGTTTTCCTCGTGCCACATCCCTGTGTATATGCCGTGCGCTCATCCCCATTCCTTCCCTCCAGAGAAGGTGTTGAGACATGAAGACCTGGTGAGAGCTCCAATCTTGATTTTCGCCAACAATGGGGAGGCATGGCAGAGGTGGGTGGGAGGGAGGCATGGGGAAAGTGGAGCGCGGGAGAAGGAAGCATGTGCAGCAGCATCGTGCTGGCGCAGGGTGTGGAGAGGAGGAGATGGATTTGTGTCGGAGATGGAATGATGATTCGGGGAGGAGGGAGGGGAGGGGGTGGAGTAACCTCTTTCTTCCACCTCATCCCACCTCCGCCTCCCACCTCCCTGCCCTCCTCTCTGTGCCCTTTGCATGGGACCTACCACTAGAGGCAACAGTTGCCTTTAGAGCGCCAGAGGGACGCTCGGTGGGCGCCCGCCTGCTCAGAGGGAAGTTGCTGGATTATCACAAGGAGGGAGGGAGTGCGAGGATTTTTTCTGGGTGCTGGTCTGCTCTGCTGGGGTGGGTGCCCCAGCAGACCAGCACACCTCATCCCACCTCCGCCTCCCACCTTCCCTGCCCTCCTCTCTGCGCCCTTTGCACGGGAACCACTACCAGAGGCAGTGGGTGTGGAGGAATTGACCCACTGCCTGCAGCAGGTACTTTCACATGCCTGAAAAGTCTCATCACTACCTGCTGCACTGTGTGTGTACAATGGGGAAGCATGGCAGAGGTGGGAGGAAGGCATGGGGAAAGTGGAGCGCGGGAGAAGGAAGCATGTTGGAGTCTGTAAGTCTGTACTTGAAGCTTTCGCATTCTTGCTGGTCAAAAAGTAACAGCAATGACTACGCCTTAATAGTAGTGAGAGCAGTGTGATGTAAGCTGTAGCATTGTCACACTCCCCCCTGCTCCAGCTCAGGCAGAAGCATTGTGCTGGCACAGGGTGTGGAGAGGGGGAGATGGGCTTGTAGGGGAGTTGGAATGATGTTTTCTGCCCATCTCACTGCCTGCAGCAGTTGGAACGATGTTTTCAGACGCCTGGAAATTTTCATAACCACCTGCTGCACTTCCTTCCACGCATCCATTTCTCACCTCCCTGCCGCAACCCCCTCACACATCCCTTCTCCCTTATGCCTCTCTCTCCTACCTCCCTCGCCCACCTCCATCCCCCACCCCCAGCTCCCGCTTGCCCCTGTGTGTGCCCCGCAGGATCTACCATCGGCACTGGGCGAGGAGGACTTGACGCACTGCCTCGAGCTGAGGGACCTCAAGGGGCGCTCCGCCATGGTCATGGGGGAAGGGAGGGGAGGGGGGAAGGGAGGAAGGGAGGGGGAGGAGAAGAAGGGAAAGGGAAGCAGGGTGGGGGCGAGTGGGGGAAGGGGCTGGGAATGGGAATAAGGGGGAGGGGAAAGGGGGGCATTAGGGGGAGGAGATTGTGGTGGGCGGGCAATGCTGAGGGCGTGCTAGGGTTAGGGTGTGATAATTTAGGAGCGTGGGATAGAGCGTATGATGTGTGAACGGGGTGATGTGGGTGGGAGAAGAGTTGAGGGTGTGGGAACAACTGAGGGTGTGTTTGGGCATGCAAGTGTGGTCAGGTGAGTGACGAAGAGACGAAGAGAGGTGAGTGGAGCTTTTTGGGCCAAGTATTCCCTTCCCTGTGAAGGGGCATCTTGTGTTGTTGGTGATTATGGCTTGATTGCCCTGGCAGGCACTACACAGTTGTATGCCTGTGTGTGCCTGCATGTTCGTACGTTCATGTGTGCATGTGCCTGCGTGTGCATGTATATCTGTGTGTGTGCGAGAGGGAGTGTGTCTGACTGCATCCACAACCATCTCTGTGCTTGCCTTTGTGTGTGCAGCACGGGGGTGAGGGAGGGAGTGATGTGGCTGGTGGAGGCAATGAGGAACGAGCAGACCGCATCAAGCAAAGGGCAGATGCTGCTGCTGCCTTCCGATATGGACTCAAGGTTGTAGCCATGGAACAATGCCTTAGTGGTTCTGCTCCTTTCAGCGGCTTGCTAAGGCAGGGATGGTAATTAAAGTGGTGCTAAATGTGCATGCGTGGTTGAATGAGGCGAGTAGAATGTGACCGAACATAATGCAGCTGTCAATACAAATGATCACTGCTCTTAAGTGCCCAAGAATGCTAGAACGCATACCGGTATTTGTACAATATGGTGGGTGCTAAGTACCGTATTCTCCCGGACATAACACCCTAGGGTATAGCTAAAAATACAAGGAAAAAATGGGGGGGGGTCTCCTCATAGGGAAAAAATACATAATACCCGGGTCTTTACATATGGCATATTTTAGTGTTAGTGTTTTTTTAATTAGTCAATGTGGGTGTTTTGCTGGTCGTTTTAGCATCACTGCCTGAGGCGCGAATGTCAGTTTCGGCCTCGAACTTCATCGCCCTCACGAAAATGCCATGTGACACCTCTCTTGCCACTTGCAACGGAAGATTCACCTGCACGTGGCAACAGAGAAATAGTGGGAGGGGGCAAATCTCGGCAGATTGCCTTTGAATGTACCACGAAATTTCATTGAGGGAGAAATTCACACGATATTCTTCCGTATTGCAGCTACTCGTTAACGACTATAATAATGAATCCGTAAGAAAAGGGGGGTGTTATAGAAAACCAGCCAAAAAGGGGGGTATAGTAGAAACGAGGTCTATCATAACACCCACCCCGCACAAGCTACCCGGGGGTGTACAACTATGGGGGGGTGTTTTGTCCGGGAGTATACGGTATGTGGAATTTTGTAGAATTAAATGGTTGCATGACTGTTGTAGTGTTATCAGTAAATAGCTTCTCATTAACTTTGAGAGCAAAGGTCAGCATCAAATTAAAGATGCCTCTTGTTTGGCCCTTTGATTGCCCTGGCAGGCACTACACAGTTGTATGCCTGTGTGTGCCTGCATGTTCGTACGTTCATGTGTGCATGTGCCTGCGTGTGCATGTACCGTATATCTGTGTGTGTGCGAGAGGGAGTGTGTCTGACTGCATGCACAACCATCTCTGTGCTTGCCTTTGTGTGTGCAGCACAGGGGTGAGGGAGGGAGTGATGTGGCTGGTGGAGGCAATGAGGAACGAGCAGACCTCATCAAGCAAAGGGCAGATGCTGCTGCTGCCTTCCGATATGGACTCAAGGTTGTAGCCATGGAACAATGCCTTAGTGGTTCTGCTCCTTTCAGCGGCTTGCTAAGGCAGGGATGGTAATTAAAGTGGTACTAAATGTGCATGCGTGGTTGAATGAGGCGAGTAGATTGTGACCGAACATAATTCAGCTGTCAATACAAATGATCACTGCTCTTTAAGTGCCCAAGAATGCTAGAACGCATAGCAGGCCCTCAGATATCAGCGTAAAACACGCTGATTACGCTGATTTTGTAGCTCAGTTTTTCGTTTTCCCTGAAAATTCAGCATATGCTTCAAATTTGCACTGAAATTTCAGTATAACATACCTTGCCACACTGGCCATTTTCCGTGTTGCTGTACAAGTAACACTGACGAATCAGTGTAGTGTCGTGAGTCACACTGAAACGGACTAGACCGATTCGGGGTGGTACGCATGTATACAGTTTGTACCTGGCCCGGGATTCACGAGACCCCACTAGGCTGTACCTGGCCCGGGATTCACGAGACCCCACTAGGCTGTACCTGGCCCGGGATTCGCGAGACCTCACTCACACACTTAGGGCGTGTTCCTACACCTCGTATCAGACACATCTCGTATCAGCTTCGCGTGGTTAAATAATGTTTCAGTGTGTTCAACTTCGGTTGGATGCGTTTTAGTGCGTTTCGACGCGAATCTGATACGAGGTTGCCTGATATGAGGCTGTAGGAACACGCTCTTAACGATGCATGCCCTGTACAGATCGCGCGCCGACGTGTTCTGCATCGCTGGAAGGAGCTCTCACAGCGACAAATTTTGAATGGGAAATTCAACTTTGTATTTCTTTTGTACACTGATGGTTCAGTTTACTTATAACTCTTACACTGGCAAAATCAGTATAAAGAAAACAATGAACGCTGATTTGGACACCTGGGCGACCGGGGCACGCTGATCCATCAGCATACCCTCAAACCAATCTGAGGGCCTGACGCATAATTATACAATATGGTGGGTGCTAAGTACGTGGAATTTTGTAGAATTGAATGGTTGCATGACTGTTGTAGTGTTATCAGTAAATAGCTTCTCATTAACTTTGAGAGCAAAGGTCAGCATCAAATTAAAGATGCCTCTTGTTTGGCCCTTTCAAACGTTTCTATTTCGTACGTATCGAGAGGCATACTACAGCGAGCACAAATTTCCCCGTCTTCTATCTCGAGTTCTCTTTTCCGAGCCGACAGATCCCGATAATGTCGCTGCTGTAGGAGCGTCCCGTACTGAAGCATTGAGTTCCTGGCGGCCACTTCCCGCCATTTCGAAACACGCGATTCTCGAAGAGCAACCAGACGAGTTTGCGTCGTTAGCGTCTGTCTACCCTGTCGCAAATGCAATTCGCATACGTTTTGGGCCCTTGCGACTCCCTACCGCCTTCGCGGACGCAGATCCTCACGAGCAGCGGGGTCAGGAATGGCAAAGCTTTCGCGTCGGAACGACAACCGGCATAATCGCTTAGCCAGCAGGCTTGCTCCCGAGTGGACCATCCGCACCGTTTGGAAAAGCCAAAGCACCAGCCTGCACCGCTCTGTGACGTACCCCGAGGCCAGCGGCCTCGGAAATAGCTTTGTTCCGTCCGTGTTCCAGTGCCTGCCTGCTGTGAGTTCCCAGTGCGATTCGCTTAGCAACTCCTTCCTGCACAATCGCTTAACCGGCAGGTTCGGTTCGAATGGACGAGCCTCACCGTCTGGACAAGGCAATCAACCGGACTGAACCGTTCTGTAACGTCCCCGGACGCCACGGCCAGAGGCTTGACACTGCTTCGGAATTAGCTTCGTTTCCCTGCGAGTCCGCTCACCGCACAAGTTCCCAGTGCCTCGTCTCTCCTCCACCCCGCCTTGTCGCAGCAACACTCTCTCGCTCTCCCCCCGTCGCCTGCGATCGCCTCTCCGAGTACAAACCCGCACTCCCTCTACTCACCCTCATTCATCGCTCTCTCTTCTTCGGTTTCAACTCTCCAGCTGGCCTCGATCGCCAGTTTCGTACTCTCTCGTTACTCTCGAGCCCGCTCCCACAGCGGCAGCATTGCTATCCTTGCCAGCTCAGAACATTCTAAGCTTTCAGCTCTCTCCGGATTCTCTCTCCGGTACTTCAAGCTTTGCACCTGAAGCTGCAACAGCAACCAGTGTTCCCTCAAGGTTCGTCTCTGCTAGTTCCGCCGCTCGGTTTCGGCCTCACACTTGGTTCGGTTGAATGGCCGACGCTTCCGCGCCTGCATACACCTCGTCGTCGTTCGCGGAAGTCCTGAGCCTCTGGAGGAAGCGCGAAGAGGTTGCGCAGTCCCGCGCGCATCTTGAAGTGACGCCGAGCTCCGCGACTGCATGCGCGGTGCCTTGTGAGCCAACTCTTGAAGCGACTTCTGAGGAAACTCCCGAGGCGATTTCTGAGTCGACGGAAAAGCAGTCCCAACTGCAAGTGCCGCCGAGCTTCTCCGCTGCATGCGCGGCGGCTGACTGCGACCAAACGAGCACTGGCAGCGACCACGTCGAGACGCCATGCAGCAGCGGGACGAGTTCTGTCAGCTGTTCTGTCAGCAACGACGCGATTTCTGGAAAGGACGTGAGGATGCACAGTGATGGCGGCAGGTGGTTGGTGGCGGAGGTTGCAGTGGGATCAGGTGGTGCCACTGCTGATGCTAACAACACACTGCACGCCGCCCTGCTGCTGCTGCTGCTGCTACACTCGCTGCTCCTGTCACTGCTGCTGCCGCTGCTGAGAGTGGTGCTGCCTTGGTGCATTCCCAATGTAGACAGCACAGGAGCGCGTGTGAAGGGGGATGTTGTGGAGGGGAAGGCATGGAATGCACGTGGGGGTGCTCTAGCCCACCAGAAGCCCACAGCAAGCAGCAAGAGGCAGCAGCAGGAGAGAGAGCACGCTGTGAAGTGCAGAGGGAGGAGGAACGCTGGCAGCACCACCAAGGCAGCAGCAAGTCCTCTTTGGAGGTCTTGAAGCTGCTGGCGCCACAGAAGCAAGCGCAGGGCAATATTTTCTGTGGAAGCACAGAACAGAAATATCTCCAATTGCTACTAAAGTCTGTGTCTCTTAGATAGCTGTGTGCAATCTTGTACTGTAAACTAGGTGCATTAGGTGTATTAACTCATGTTTATTGGCTGTCAAATGTCTAGACGAATTTATATTCTACATCCAGTATCTCTGATTGTTTCCTCCCTATCTATGCTGCTTGTCAAATTGAACATTTTGCTCTAAATGGACAAGGTGACTGATTAGGACATGTCAGAATGAGAACTACAGCGGAATACGTTGTGTTGACAGGATTGGGGTACATCACCTAACCCTAACTAGTTGTACCCCATATAGCCCAACCCACTACAGGCTATAATATTTGACACACCCCCATAGCCTAAGTGGGGAAGGCCAATCAACAACAAGCAACCTACGGTCACAAGACCAGTCAAAAAACAAGAGAAAGAAAACAAAGCTCAGGGTGGATCACAACGTCACCACCTAATCTGAGCACAAGCAAAGGGCCACAAGGCCAGTCCAAAACAGTGCAAACAAATATATATATATATATATATATAAGTGTCAGAATGAGGAATGAGTGTTCCATTGATGTTGGTTGGGGTACATATGACAAACCCTAACTTCTGTACCCCCTAAGACAAACCTCACTACAGGCTACAACATTTGACACACCCCCATAGCCTAAGTGAGGGGTGTCTAGCAAAAAACAAAAAAGAGTACGGTCACAAGACCAGTCCAAAAGAAAACAAAGCTCAGGGTGGATCACAACGTCACCACACACTCTGAGCACAAGCAACAGTGGCCACAAGGCCAGTCCAAGAGATCACAAGTATATATAGTAAAAGTACAAACGAAGCAGGCAATAAACTCAAGTCTACGCATG